GAAAAGCAGACAGTATGTTTATTAGGTGCATGAAGATACTACTATATATTTTTTTCAGTAAACCCTTTCCCTGTAACCTTGTAATAAGATTATTTTCAAGTAGGGAAAGGGGAAAAGATATTACCTTTTAGTATGGCATATTTTTTCCTGATGTATTAGATGGGAGTAGCTATTATATATATATATTTTTAAGATTTTATTTATTTGTCAGAGAGACAGAGAGAGAGCACAAGCAAGGGGAGCGGCAGGCAGAGGGAGAGGGAGAAGCAGGCTTTCCGCTGAGAGCAGGGAGCCCGATGTGGGACTCGATCCCAGGACCCTGGGATCATGACCTGAGCCGAAGGCAGACGCTCAACCATCTGAGCCACCCAGGCGTCCCTATTATATTATTTTTAATTCCAGGAAAAAGGGGGGGGTAAGCAAGGCCCTTGTGATAGGGTATAATCTACAGTAGCATATAAAACATTTTTACGTTCTTGCTTTGAAAACCCTCAAGACTCTTGGGGCGCCTGGGTGGCTCAGTTGGTTAAGCGACTGCCTTCGGCTCAGGTCATGATCCTGGAGTCCCGGGATCCAGTCCCACATCGGGCTCCCTGCTCGGCAGGGAGTCTGCTTCTCCCTCTGACCCTCCCCCCTCTCATGCTCTCTATCTCATTCTCTCTCTCAAATAAAAAAAAAAAAGAAAACCCTCAAGACTCTTAAAGATAGCCCTAGGAAGCTTTTGTTTGAAAAGCAATGAATTTATAATAATAATTTGCTGGGAAACTATGTTTTCTGTTTATAGCAAAGATAAACACGACAAAGTTCACATTAATGAAGTCTGAATTCGTGAAGGTTCTCGCCACGCCAAGTGATCCATGCAACTTCATTTCATGACAGATTATGAGTCAAGTTTAAACTCTTGTAACCAAACTTGGGCTCTATCACTGAAGTTTTTGTGCGAGAAACCCCCATTCTGGTAGGAAACTCTAATTTGTCTGTCGATAATTTCTAATTTGTGTTGTGCTATTTTTGTGTAAGGATAATGACATGAAGTAGAAATTGTCTTTTAATAGACAGATGAAGGTAATTACAGTGATTATAATAGATGCTGGCAAATATTGCAATACATTGACTAATTTAGTTCACATTTCAGAAACTACTAAAATTGGAGCATTACATTCTAAGTGTGCAATCTTTATTAAAAACCACACAGCGCAAGTACCTTTGAATTGCTAATTTTATAGAAACCATGTCCCATCTTCATCGACCTAAATGCGTGACATTTCTTCATAAATTGATACCTTCTAGACGTGAAAGCCCAACAGTGTCCTCTGTACTTTTTTTCTATTCTCCAGCCCTCCGTCCCTCCCTGTCTTCCTCCCTTCTCTCCCGGAGAACTTTAATATCTTATCTCTTTCTCCCTGGGTGTTTTCACCAGGAGTTCTATGCCTAAACCCTTTGTCTTGACTGGGGTAGAGGCTCTAAGAAATGGCCACACAGGCCAGAGACTGAGAAGGAAAATAACCCTCCCATTTCCCAAACATCTCTGTCCGTAACTCTTCTGATGCTGCCGCGCCTCCTGGAGCTTAGAGGCATCGGGGGAGATCAACACATACAAGAGCCCAGATTTCAGAGCTGGGGTCATCTCTTGCACTTTGAAGTCTCCTTCTGACTCGCAGCATTTCCTTCTGGCCGGGCCTTTTGGGAAAGTTTTCGTCTTCAGGGTTGACTCGGCACTGGTTTCACCCGGAGAGTTAGGCCTGCTCAACCTTTGCTCTCTCCTCCCGACTTCCTTCTCAGAATCGATGCTCCACTTTTCAGCAACCCTTGCAAATGCTTTTTCTAAAGATGGTCCCAGCCAAAGCAGGATCCTCATTATCCCTTCTGAAGCAAATGGCCCAGGGCCACCTGCTCCCCCTCTCCTCTCCTTCTCCAGAATACATTTTCCTTTTGACCTAACTCCCTTGATTGTGCGCTAGCATTTTACAGCGAACGAGGCAGCACTTAAATCACACCTAGTTACGATCCCTGCCGGCAGGGTTTGCTCCCCAGAATGGAAACGGGAGAGACCCAAAGGAACCCAGAGATGAAGCAGCCATCTGAAAGGGGAATCGGCCTAATGAGTGATTCAGAAAACCTTACTCAGACTGGGCTGCTGAAGTAATATCAATACCAAGAGGCTTGGGGCAAGGAAAGCCACAGTCAAGGTCAAGCAGAGCCACCTCTTTCCACAGAGGAGGCTGATGGTTTAACTCCAGAGAATGTCCAACGACCTCGGTTTTTGTTATCTCTCTATTTAAAAAATTTCCAACTTCTGGGTTAGTTTGCTTTTATCCTCCAGTGGTTCTGAGCCAACTCCCACCCCCCCCCCCCTTTTACTGTCATTTGTAGAATGCTCAGGAGATAGAAAATAAGTCTTAATATAAAAGTCAAATATAATTAGGTATTAAGCTTTGCAGAGCAAACTTTAAATAATTTTAAATTTAATCTGCATATCCCCCGTTCTAGCAGCTGAGGGAACCACAGTTAAGGGTGGGTGGAAATATTCATGAAATTCTCAAAATTTCTGGTGTGCTGATGGCATCTTTCTTGTTCCCATGCCATATAATTTTCTCATTTTAATGGGATTTGGGGGCAGTTTAGAAATTAAACGCATTGGGGCGCCTGGGTGGCTCAGTCGGTTAAGTGTCTGCCTTCGACTCAGGTCCTGATCTCAGGGTCCTGGGATGGAGCCCCACGTTGGGCTCCCTGCTCAGCGGGGAGTCTGCTTCTCTCTCTCTCTCTCTCGTTCGCTCACTCTCATTCTCCCTCTCTCTCAAGTAAATAAATAAAATCTTTTTTTAAAAAAAGAAATAAAATGCATGTACTTAGTATGCCACTTAGCACTCTGGCGTTCATATCTTTGACTTTTCATAGGCTGTCTGTCTGGAATGCCTTTTCCACCTTTTGAAGCTTTTTCCAGTTCACCATGCACCAACCCCCCAAGTTCAAGTTCACTTTTCCTGCACCTGAGTTATTGTGTTTCTTTGACATGGTCGCACTTCTGTTTCCTTGTCGGCCTCTCTCCATAAGAAAGACGGTTCCTGGAGATGGCAGCTTTGTCTTCTTGCCCTACTTGTCACTGCATCCTCAGTGGCCATCAGGATGCTGGGCGCACAGGAGGTACCTGATAGATGTCACCAAATTGAGAAGAATAGCAAGCCTGCTCCATAGGTCACCCATGCTATCTTTCATTCCTTCCTTGGAAGAAAGTGTCTCTCTGCGTCAGTGTGGAACTATTAGAGGAGTGGTGCGTTTAGGTACAGATGTTGTACGGGCTGTCTTTAGGGTCACCGTGACCATCTGGGCCGGAGTGGAAAACGATCTTTTAAAGATGACTCAAGGGTCTGAGATAGAGACAGACATCCATTTCCTCACCTGTAGAGAAAGGACGGGGCCCATTACCATTAACACTTCAAGGCAGCACCTTTTGTTCCCTATTTGAAAGAATAAAAATGATCATTAACATATTTATGAAATGCAGCAAAAGGAGTTGTTAAAATGAAGTTGTCACTGAAGACTCATGGAACTCTGAAAAAAATTTTTAATTATTTTATATCCCGTAGTATTTGATTCGTAAAATATATAACACATACATGTTTTAAAACATATGAGTAAATTAAACACCAGGAATTCACCACTTGGCTTAAGAATTAGGATTTTAAAAATATATTTTCATCTATCTCTCTGCTCTTTCCCCATCTCAAATCCCTGTTTCCACCACTGAGGGCAAGTGTTCTCTTGAGTTTTAGGCTCACTGTTCCTGTCTGTCTGCAGTTGTAATGGATAGAGAGGAAGAAATGTCAGAATATGAGTGGTATGGGTCCACATCACCTCTATCAATCTTCAGCTGAACTTATCTGACAAGCAGTTATTTCTATGGCTCATTCAGCCACTCATTCATTTCATAAGCATTTGTGTGATTCCTATGTGCCAGATGTCACACGAAGAAGCTAGCTCTGGAGCCCTCACAGAGCTCCCGATCCGGTGGAGGATGCCTGACAGGTAGGCTGGCAGTGGCGTGTGGAGTGATGAGCATGACGGGAGGAGCCGTTGAGGGACCTTCTATAAGGGGCAACTACCCCGGGCCTGGAGGTCAGCAAGGTGAGGAACAGGGGGTTTACACTGATTCCTGGGGGGTGAGCAAATGCCAGCCGGACAACAGAGTAGGGCATTGGGAAGCAGTGTGTGTGAAGGCCTGGGAGCTACAGAGCCTGGAGCCTTTGTGGGGAAAGCTCCTGGAGCCCAGCAGAAGTGAACCATAGAGAGCAGGCCTGGGGGTGGGAGTGTGGAGGCTCAAAAGGAAAGCAGGACTAAGAGTGAGCCATCACGAACCAGCGTGTGCTTTCTGAGCCTCTGCGGGTGCAAAGCACGGGGCTTGGCACTGGGGGTATAAAGGACAAATCTTAGCATTTAAGGAACTTAAACTCTTCTCGGGGAGATGGGACACATATGGGCTTCTGCCAGAAATGGCATCAACAACGCGGAGACAGCTTGGTTCTAAACAACAGTTTGGTTACCCAAGGACATGAAGCGAAGCCATGAAGAAGCATTTGAGACGAGAGGTGTTGACAACAAGCCGGTTGAAATCAGGTCCTCCTTCAGAATGTTTACATGCTGTGCTGGCAAAGGCAAAAGTAATCATATGTGAAATCACTGTCATGCTTCTGATTTCTCACTCCCCTAAGCAGTGGTCCTGGAATTGCTCTGTTCCAAACCCGTCCCAAAGCCACCAGTTGGCTCGAGTAATGTTCCCTGAGATGGTGCTGTCCGACAGGACCTTCTGCAGGGATGGTGATGTCCTAGGAGGCTCTTCCACAGCCAGCTTCCGGGCGGAGACTAGGAAAACAAGCAGGAAACGGGAATGAAAATGGGAACCTGGATTCAACGAGGAAGGCGGGTGCGCTTGGTCCCCGAGTCCATGCGCACTCAAGTCTGGCCATGGAAGTAAAGGCATCCCAAAGGCATGCTGTTGGGGCGCATTTGCCCCTTTCCTCGCCTGCCACTCCCTGTGCTGCTGGTGATATTGTACTCCATCACCTCAACATTTTCAGGCCCCTGTTCCTTTTGCTCATCCTGGTTACTGTATTGTGAAGGTCTTTATCACCATTTTGTCATCTACTCATCCTTCACGGCTCACCTCTTACACAGTGTCCCTGTGCGCCCCCTCATGACAAGCATTGCCTCCTCTGGGATCCCGAGCAGCATGGTTGTAATTCCTCCAGCACTGATCACACCTTCAGATGCATGAAGTCACACTATACTCTCAGTGCCCTGGAGGGACCTGCTTGTGCACCTGCTACCTTTTCTTTGTTCCCCACCTCTGGGCAGTGATGTGCACATAGTAGGTTCTCAAAGTAAAGGTCTGTTAATGTTAGTGACAGTGCAGGATCCCAGGGCGTCTGGTGCTGGAGAGCCGGCGCCCTCCAATGTCAAACGCCCAGCGAATCAGAGCAAAATGTCACCTGTCTTTATATATTCCTCCGGTTATGTATTTCCAACAGGTCTAGAATCTGCTTTGACAAGCAAGCTGATTAGCTACAGGCAAGACTAAATAGGTTTGGGAAAGAAGAGTCACTTGAAGACTTTTATCTTTGGAAGATTAGTTTAAGCCTTTCTTTGTAGTCTTCAGTGAGAATGAGAAAAACAAAGCGAAAAATTCATTGCCTGCCAATTCAGCCTGTACAATGGGACTTACAAGTACATGCAAATTCATCCCATTCAAGCAGAAGCCTTAAGTACTGGGGGTGGGGGGAAGGGGGAGGGCGCTAAATGAAAGAGTGAACCGGCCGAGGGTTCTGGAAGGTGGATGGGTATTTGTTTCCAAATTTGTGGCTGACAGCTTGTGGTCAGTCTCACGATGGGCTCAAGAGCACCCTTGGTTCTGTTCTTTGAGGAAACCTTCCATGATGCATTGGGTAGATCCCTTGGTTCTGTTCTTTGAGGAAACCTTCCATGATGCCTTGGGTAGATCCCACACGCCCCCGCTCAGGCTGGGCCACTAATTAGCTGGAGTGCCTTAGTGGCTCAATTAGTAATAATAATCACTAATATTTACGAAGGGTTGACTTCATGCCAGGGGCCGTTCTGAGCCCTTTATACATGTAAACCCACTGAATCGTCATGGGGCTCCTCAGTCATAGGACTTAGGTACTGTTGTAATCATCCCCATTTTGCACCTGGAAAACTGACCCAGAGAGGACAAGTAACTTACCTAAGGTCTCACAGCTTATGTCTGGATGTGCAGTTATTGGAATCCAGCTTGTCTGTCTGGAGTTTGCACACTTAAGAACAGGGCTGATCTGACGCCCCAACAGGGTCAAAGGGGGTTGGATGAAGTAGGCTCCTGGCTTGTTCCTTTGGAAGGTGTTATGGGATGAATTGTGCCCCTCTCAAATTCATATGTTGAAGTCCAAACCCCAGGTACCTCAGAATTCTTGTGACTGTATTCAGACATAGGGCCTTTGAAGAGGTAGTTAAGTGACAATGAGGTCATTAGGGTGGGTCCTATTTCAATATGACCAGTGTCCTTATAAAAATAAATTTAGACACAGACGTGTACAGAGGGGAGACCGCGTGAGCGAGAACAGAGTCCTCCACAAACCAACGAGAGACGCCTCAGAAGCCCAAACCCGCAATACCTTGGTCTTGGACTTCCAGCCTCCAGGACTGTGAGGAAATAAATTTCTGTTGTTTAAACAACCTCCCCCACCCCTGCTCCACTCTGGTACGTCTTATGGTAAAACCTGGCAAACTGATACACATGGTCAGAGGTGGTAAAGCGTTGTGCCCACCTATGTTCTCTTTGACCTCACTGCTAAGGAGCAGGGTGTCCCTGTCCATCCGGTCTGGGTGGAATGTCAGGGATTCTGGGGCGACGTGCCCTTTGTCAGGTGGCCGCTGGTCAGCAGAGCCCTCTGCCCTTCCCATCCGGAGCCCACTGACCTCTGGTGGTGATCAGATCTGTAGATCTTTGCTAAAGCATCGTGAAGTGCAACAGGTTGAACAGCGGTGGGCTCTCTGAGAATTTGTCAGGGCCCTTGGGCCTTTCACAACACAGGGCTCCCTGGAGACGAAAACAAAAGGCTTGGACGGCACCTCCCGAAGGGTGCCAGCTGGGAAATTCCCTCAGGTGATGGAAATTCACAGGAAATCGCTCCTCGCCCTCACTGCCCAACACAGAGCCACCCAAAGAAGGTTCTTGGATCCTCTGACAGAGGCTGAAGATCGCCCCCCAGCTCATTAGAATATATGGAAGATTAGAAACTCCAATTAAAACAAATCCCAAATGGCATTCTCTGAATGTGTCTGAGCTTGGAATCAGGTAGGTCTGAAGAGATGGGATCTAAATTCTATTCTGTTTGCATTCTTATGCAAACATTGCTGCTTTTTTCATGGACCAAAATATCTTTTTAATAGGCTTCCAGCATGGAAAGCTGTGTGCTATTATTAAATGCAGGTGATTTCTAGTCTCTCATCTGGTCCCTTTGGCCAATGAGGAGAAAATGCCCCCCCCCCACAGTATTGAGTTCCACTTTAAAGCACAGTTTAATTTTTTTTAGAGAGGGAGTGGAGGTGGCAGGGGGAGAGGAAGAGAGAGAATCCTAAGCAGGCTCTCCACACCCAGCATGGAGCCTGACACGGGGCTCGATCTCACAACCCTGAGATCATGACCCAAGTCAAAATCAGGAGTTGGACATGTAACCGACTGAGCTACCCAGGTGTCCCTAAACCACACAGAGTTTAAAACCCACCCCTCCTCCTTGATTCCGATTCTGGAGCAGAGTTGTTTGGCTTCATCACTGGGAAGCTAGTTGTAAGGTGTTTACACCACGTTATTCGCATCTCTTAGACACTGACATTTCTCTCAGGCAACCCAACAGTGCGTATGGAAAGCCTCCGATGGGCTGTGCTGAGGGAGATGTAAAAGGAGAGAGGTAAGGTCGGTCTGGGCCCTTATCGTCCAATTGGTGGGCAGGACTCACCCGAGAGAAGAGCCGCTGGTGCTAGCTGGTGGGATCCTAACTGCGCATTAAGTTAGTGCAGCCCAGAGAACCCCAGGGTGGACCTCCGGGGAGCGTCTGCTCTGCTCTTTGCAGCTCTCGCATTTCTGGGAACCATGCCCTCTCTGCACAGGGTCACAGTGTGGTTGCACAGGTGTGCTCTGGACCCACACGTGGGCCCCTGGCCGTGACCGCCAGGAGGGGTACCTGAACCACACTGAGCCAACTGCAATTTCTGCAGTTAGTCTGTGCATTTGATCCTAAGGCTGTGAACGGGGGGCCATCTTCTACCGGAAGGTAGAGAAATGCAGGGAGCCTGCCTGTTCAGACACAGAAGAATGAAGCCCGTGTTGCAGCAGAAGCAGCTGGTGGCCCTTCTCAGTCCTGCACTTGCGTGAGACACCTTCTTCTTGTCAAGAAACTCGACCTGACTTGCGTTTCTCCACTTGGCTTCGTAATCAGCAACCAAGCAGGGCGCCTGGTTCATCAGACAGGAAAGCACCTCAGGGCTGCAGTTGAGGCAGAGGAATTTATGGGGAACACCATCAAAGGAAAACCCAGGATTTTAAGGCAAGAGGGGATTGTCTCGATTCCCCTGATGGGAAGGGATCTAGAGTCTAGAGAATTTTCTTGCTGGGTTTGTGAGGAAGGACTAATCTTTTCTGTGCCTGGTCTATGGGGAATATTAACCATTATTCTTGGCTTCTGTCTGCCCCCTGGCACTACCATCCCTGCCCTTGTCTGTAAACCTTAGATAGAAGTATTGCTTTTATAAGAGCCTGAGGCATCTTTTTTAGTTTATTCTGTAGAACCATGCACGAAAATTGGCATTGATGAAGCGTCTGGGCGGCTTAGTCGGTGAAGCCTCCAACTCTTGGCTCCCACTCAGGGCTTGATCCCAGGACCGTCGGGCTCTGCGCTCAGCATGGAAACTGCTTGTCCTCCCTCTGCTCCTACCCCTGCTCTCACGTTCTCTCTTGAATAAATAAATTTTTTTAAAAAAAAATTGGCATTGTTGGGGTGTTTGGCTGACTCAGTCAGTGGAGCATGGGACTTTTGATCTCAGGGTTGTGGGTTCAAACCCTACATTGGGTGTAGAGATTACCTAAAAAAATAAAATCTTTAAATTTTTTTTAAAATTGGCATTGTTTTCCTACTGAAAAGTGGAAACTTGAAACTGAACTCAGGTCTTTACTCCTTCCTTGTCAGTCCTTAAACTCTTTATGACTGCTTTATCCTGTCTCCAGCAGATTCTTCCAGCAGGAGATTTTCCCCAGCATCTTTAAACTCACACAAGTGTGGGACTCTCTACTTGCTGAATCCTGACCACCTCAGAGTAAGAGGTTTGCTTGCTAATTTCTTTGTTGAAAAATAAAACACCCAGCGATTTCTTTTTTACGGAAGAGTAGTAAGGTTGACAAATTTACGGTTCGACAAAACTCTAAGATCTATTCTCGGGTGCAAATTATGTCAAAGCCCACCAAACAGGTGTGTGGCAAAACAAAACCTGGAGATTTGCAGTGAGCTAGGAGGAGATTTGCAGTGAGCTAGGGAGAGGTGGAAGAAAGAAGATTCTGGAAGCCTAGCTGCTGAAAGACTCAACATGGTCAGGAGGAGGAATGGGGACCCTGCCCACAGGGAGGGAAATCTACTGATGGCAAGCAAGCTGCCTCGGGTTCGAGATTACATGAGGCTGTGGGCAAACAGCCCGAGTGAGACACCTTATGTTTTGCACCTGAGGTGCCTCCCTTGCCTTGGCCTTGCCTGTGGAAGCCTTGTTTCAGAGCTGGAAACAACCTTCTTAGCATTTGTAGGGCTTGTGACTGGGAGGATGTGAGAGACGGGATTGTGTCTGTCTCCTGTGCCTTGCACAGTGCCTGGCTCACTGTCGGCGATCAACGAGTTTTGCTGAGTGCATAACTGAGTAGGATCTGGGGAAACCAAAGTCGATGCAGCAGTGAGCCATGTCCATGTCTTTTAGAGCAAAGAAGCAGAAAGAAACTTATCTTTTAGAATGGGTCATTGTACCTCCGGAGTGAGGACCAGTTCCAACTCCCCTCCTCCTTTGGGGTTTTTACAAAGAAAGCACTCACATTTAAATGAACTCGTGTAGGCTAGTGATTGGGGACGAGATGAGATGGCTTTGGAAGCGCCTCCAAATCTTTAATCTGTTATTATTCATTCATTCATTCATTTTTCCAACAATTATTTACTGAACATCTATTTCATGTGATTGTCAGGGCCTAATTGCTGTGGCATAACTGAAGACCTGGATCTAAATATAAAACCCTCTTGGGGCACCTGGGTGGCTCGGTCGGTTGAGCGTCTGACTCTTGGTTTTGGCTCAGGTTGTGATCTCAGGGTCGTGGGATTGAGCCCTGCACCCAGCTCTGCACTCAGCGGGGAGTCGGCTTGTCCCTCTCCCTCTGCTCCTCCCTCTGCTCCCTCTCTTTCTCTCGAAAATCGGTAAATAAAATCTTTAAAAAAAAAAAAAAGGACCCTCTTGAGCTGCTGGTAGGAATTTGAGGAGGTGGTGGTATTATGTGAGGGAGGCTTGCCGCCGCTGGGCAGCATCGAGCACCATTTTGCGCATACAGATCCTACATGATCAGGACAGGCAGTTGATTTGTTAAGTGAAAAGCTGGTTTAAAGTGAAGAAGCATAAAACATAGTTCTTAGGCTCCCTAGACGTGTTATTCTAACTTAAAATGTATAAATGTGCATTTATTTGCTGATGTTTTGACACAAAACCTCTGAGTATGGGATCTTCACTCTGGAGTTCAGAGCTCTCCGTTTTGCATCACCAAACCCCCAGCATCATCTGAGACTGCGGGCTTCAGGTTCCGTGAGATGCAGTGAGGATCTATGCAGAGCGCACCTCTAGATTTTTATAATCTCCTCCTTCTCCAGCCTTATACAAATTTCTCATCCACACCCAGTTCACCAGCAGTTTTTATTTTATTTTTTATTTTTTAAAAAGATTTTATTTATTTATTTGTCAGAGAGAGAGAGCTCGAGCACAAGTAGGGGAAAAGTGGAGGGAGAGGGAGAAGCAGACTCCCCGCCGAGCAGGGAACCCGATGCAGGACTCAATCCTAGGACCCCGGGATCATGACCTGAGTCAAAGGCAGATGCTTAACCAACTGAGCCACCCAGGCGCCCCTCACCAGCAATTTTTAATGGCTTAGTCTTTCTTAAGCATTTGACCTCATTTTAGGAACCAATGTCTTTCTTTTCACATTCATATTTAATCAGTTTATAATATATAAGTATATAAAAGTATATAAGTATATATACATATGCTCATATAATTAAGTATGTAAAATAATATTTAATTATATTGCATAGGGGCAGACCTTAGAGAGATTGCAGGTTCGGTTCCAGAACACTGCAATAAAGCAAATGGCATTTTTTTTATTTTCCAGTGCATATAAAAGTTATGTTTACACTATACTGTAATCCATTAATTGTGCGATAGCATTATGTCTAAAAAATGTATATCCCTTCATTAAAAAATACTTCATTGCTAAAAATGCTGACCATCATCTGACTCTCAGTGACCCATCATCACTGATCACCAGATCATCATAACAAACATAATCATAATGAGAACATTTGAACTATTGCAAGAATCACCAAAATGTGATGCAGAGACACCAAGTGAGCAAAGTGTTAAAACAAGGTATTCCTGTAGTTATCATAGGTAAATAGTTTATGGTTTATACAAAACATCATCATACAGGTCAACTGGGAGAAGTATGTGTTAATGTTAAACTACAAGTTTAACCACTGTGTTCAGGGTCCTGTGGCCACCGTCTGCACACTCTACAGAAAGCCTGGAGCACGTTGGTCCTGTCAACTCAGCCAGTAGGGCTTGGTTAGAAGAATATCTACTAAATCCACATTATACGACCAGTTCCAGATTTTGGTCTTCCACTTCGGATGGTCAGAAACTCACTTTTGGTAGGCACGTAAGGGAACGAGACTTAAGACAGTGGCTTAGACTAATGGATTCCCAGAGGCCTAAGGTCTTTGTCCCTGTCTTAGCCCTTCATTGGAGTGAAGGTAACTGTCAGAGGATCCAGGCTATTGGAAGTCTGCATGGTGAACGTATTCTGTGTTGTCTCAATGGCTCTTTTTTTTTTTTTTTATTCCTCATCACGTAACCTGTCAAAATTTGTAATTATTTTAATGCCTGCTTATCTGGTAATTGCGACTGAGGGCTGAATGAGGATTTTTAAAATAGTTTTAATAGGCTTTAATTTTTACAGCAATTTTAGGTGCACAGCAAAATTGAAGGGAAGGTACCAAGATTTCCCATCGCCCCCTGCCCCCACACATGCATGGCCTCCGCCGTTCCTGACATCCGCTGCCAGTGTGGTTCCAGTCAAGTTCCATTGACCCATCATTGTCATCCGAAGTCCAGAGCCCACACTAGGCTTCGCTGTTGGTGTTATTACGTTCTGTGTGTTTGGAGTAATGTATAATGACAGGTATCTACCATCATAGTAGCATACAAAAAATCCCCTGTGCTTCTCTGATTCCCCCTCCTTCCCCCTTAACCCCTGGCAACCACTGATCTCACTGTCCCCATTGTTGTGCCTTTCCCAGAGTGTCATAGAGTTGGAACCCTACAGCATGGAACCTTCTCAGGTTGGCTCCCGCCACTAAGTCATATGCATTGAAGTTTCCTCCGTGTCTTTTCATGGCTTGACCGCTCCTTTCTTTTTAGTCCAGAATAATATTGCATTGTCTGGACGTCCCACCATTTACTCATCCATTCACCTACTGGACGACATCTTGGTGGCTTGCAGTTTGGGCAATTTATGAATAAAGCTGCTGGAAACATCCATGTGCAGATTTTTGTGTGGACACAAGTTTTCAGCATGTTTGGGTGAATACCAAGGTGAACGAGAAGTTTTGTTGGTTTGTCTTTTTTGTTGCTAGTATTATTTTTCAGTGACAAAAGAGATTTGATGAGGTTAGAGGCTACTGGCAAGGACCCAGTAGAAAATAAGATGCTGAAATGTCAAGGATGGTGCAGATAATAGAGATACCATGGCCCTGAACAAGGACCCTGACTTAGTGCAGTGATCATTCTTAGAGGAGAGGAGTGATTCCTTATCCTTTGTAGCTGAAGGAGTAGGAGGGGGTAGACGGGAGAAGGGGGAAGGGAGGGAGCTAGATCCGGGATCGAGGAAGGGGGTAGTTGCAGGAGGGAAGGCTAGTAAGTTGGCAGAAGTGGAGAGAGTTCTCCTCATGGCTGCTATTTTCTCAGTGAAATTAGAGGTAATGTCTTGAGGGTTTCAGAGGCATGCTGGAGCTTGGAAGAGCAGTTCTGGAGAAGGGCCTTCTCACCCTGGAAATATCCCAGGCTGGCTGGCTTTTTGGAGCCCACCTGGGGCTGGAGGCTGTGCCTGGTTGTGGCCATGGCCTCTCATAGGCCTTGGAGCTCAGGGGTAGGTATGAGAAGGTAGACATTGGATTGAGTTAGGGTAGCTTTGCCAGATGGGTGCATGGAGCTCATAATATGGTAAAGAGTGTGGTTGAAGGGATGGCTTCTCCGAGGCCTTCTCTGCCCACTTTCTTGCTTTTTGACTGTTTTCTGCAATGGGGCCACTGGCTGGGTGAGTGAAGAGAGGCTAGTGAGGGACTAGCACATGTCTGGAAGCGTCTTAGGGGCAGTTTACTGGACTTCCCTTACATTGAAGCACTCTAGAAATGCTGGATCTATATTTTATTAATTGGCAATTCAAGAGTGTAGGTAAATCAACACTAACTGGGAATTTTTGTGGGCCAGTGCCTGAAAATATAAAAATGAATACACAGGGACGCCTTACTTCCATAAGTTTATTGTGTAGTGGGAGAGACAGGTAAGTAATTATAGGGAAAAATTATAATGTGTTAGGTCCAAAGATAAAGACATTTCGCTGGTGTTTTGGGTTCCTAGGGATGACTGGGTGCTGACTCGGCCCTTTCCCCCATGGTGCCGGAATATCAATACGCAGAAAAAATGCTGAGCTTCGCCTCTCTGGTCAGAAGGGACGCCCTGCAGGGCAGCAGGTCTGGGCTGGACTGGAGTTCTGGTTTCCTGTCTAGGAGCTGGGGCTGAGCTCTCAGCAGGGAGATGCCAGGCTCCCTTTGGGGGACCACGGAACCAGCAGGGGTGAAGCCCGGCTTGGCTGCCTCAGCACCGCAGCATGGATTTTCCGGGGCAGGGAGCCCTGCAGGAGCAATTTTGAGCTTTGGCAGATTGCATTCCTCATCAGAGCACAGGGGTTTGCTGTAAAACCTAGCTCAGCAAGGGATCTGTCAGGGCAGCGTTGGCCAGGAAGGGGCTTCTGGACCCTGGTCTTCTCAAGGGTCAAGCCTGGGACTCATCCTCCCAGCTCCCATCCCAGAACCTTCAGGGGCAATGGGACTTTTTGGAATGAACACCCAGGTAAGGTTAGGAGCCTTGTGCAGGTTTCATTCTTGCCACGTGAAGAGGGAATGGGGGTGATAGTAATAATAGGAATGATAATGATAGCAACAAATACTATTACAACTATTAGTGACATTTATTAACTGCTTGCTGAGGGAGTGACATCCTTTAATCACTACAACAGGCTAAACGGTAGATGTTGGGGGCTCCGTGTAAAAGATAAGGACGCAAGGTGAGAAGAGGCAGAGCAGCTTGCCTAGAGCCGTTGAGCTGGGGACGTCAGACCTAGTGCACAACCTGGGTGCGTTGAACTTCCAAGCCCACGCTCTTCACCATGACTGCCCACTGCCCCAGGGACATTTTACATTTGTGCGTTGCTTTCCAGTGTTCAACTCACTTTTCCCTCCATGACCTCACTTTCGCTTCAGAGTTTTCCTGAGAAGCAAGCAGAACAGGTGTTCCTGGCCCATACCAGAGATGTGCAGACTGAGGGTCGGAGAGGTGAGCTGACTTGCCCGGCAGTGCATGGCTGGTTTATAGCTGAGCCTCCCACCAGTGTTTGCTGATCTGTGTCCTCCTCCCCTTTCCATCCCATCCGGCTGTATACTCAGTCTCCCGTACAGGACTATAGCTTGCATGCCTTTGGAAACAGCCCCAGCCACACAGGAGGAGGAAGCAGCCCTGCGCTGGGGGTGCTTCCAGTGCCTACGGGTTGTTAAGGCAGCTTTCAGGTGGCTTGTTATTTGAAGAGTGGGGCTGCTTAGGCCAGGGTCTGGGATTAACCCCTGCATAGGCTGTATGGCTGGACACAGAGCGAAACCAGTCCAGGGAAGGCTCACCTGAGACTGACTTAATAAGCAGTGGTTGTTTGCCTTCAGATATACCTGCAGTCCCCCAAGGTTCTTGGTGCCCATTATCTATCCCCCTGCACTTTGCTTATTCCTCATTAAGAACGATAGCCTCTCGTGGGGCACCTGGGTGGCTCAGTCCATTAAGCACCTGCCTTTGGCTCAGGTCATGCATGATCTCAGGGTCCTGGGATCAAGTCCTGCATTGGGCTCCTTGCTCAGCAGGGAGCCTGCTTCTCCCTCTGCCTGCAGCTACCCTTGCTTGTGCTCTCTCTCTCTCTGACAAATAAATACATAAAATCTAAAAATCCACACTTGGCAAAGCATGCAAATGTGAGTTTTGCACACAAGATCTTATTGGCTTCTCATAATAGCCATGAAGAAAGCCAGGGAAGACATCTTATAAATAATTATTGGAGGGCTCAAATGACTTTTTCAAGATATACAGTTATTAAGTGGCAGAACAAGGACTCACAGCTCTAAAGTCTATGGTCTTTTTACTGCCCTTAATGATTTCCAAGAACCCATCTGCTCTGCCTTCCATCTCCTCAGGGCTTCAAAGTTTTCAAGCTTATGTATTACTTCTATTGCTATGTTTTTAGAAGACTCTGGTGACAAAAATGCTTAACATTTGGTGGAAAGTGAGTTATGTGGCATGGACACATTTTACCAATGCTCTTCAAACCCAGCCCGGTAGGGTGTATCCTCACTTTGTTATTGCCATGGTCCAATCTCCAGTATTCCCATTGTTTTACCAATGGACCCTATCACGTGCCGGGGTATATGGATGCTCATCGGTGTAAACGCACCCTTACTGCTCTGCCAAAGTCGTGTTCTGCCATTGGTGGGTGAGAGGCTCCACCTTCTAATAGGAGAAGCAATGCAGTTTTTATTAGTTTATCATTTTGAAGAAATACTCTTGGCAACTGCATGGCTATACTTATTTTTCATGGGTGAGCCAGCCAAGGCAAGAGACTCTGAGGGTGTAAGGACGGACATAAAAATTACCTTAGAAATTTGACAGGAAGAATGAACCATAGAGACAATACTCTGACCCTTTTAATTTACAGTTGTATATATCCATTGGGATACTTTTGGCTGCAAGAAACAGAACACCTACCAGCCAGGTCTTACATCATAAGGACATGTGTCATATACTTAACAGGAATCTGGAGGAAGCTGTAGTCTAGGTGGTTTCCTTGGCCCCAAAGATGCAGCTTGCTCCAGTCTTAGCCTTCTGTCCTATCCATGCATGGCAATGTCCTCCCTTACAGGTGCAAGATACCCGCTTCAGTTCCAGCATCACACCTCTTACAAAAGGTCCAAAGAGGAATCAAGAGGGTATTTGGAAGTGGTGAGTGTTTTCCTCTTTGTGTCTCTGTTTTTTTCTTTTACGTTAAGACTTTATTTTTATTTTTAAAATTTTTAATAAGATACTGTTCTTTTTTAAAGATTTTGTTTATTTATTTGAGAGAGAGAGAGAGAGATAGTGAGAGAGAGCAAGCATGAGCAGGGGGAGAGGGAGAAGCAGGCTCCCCGCTGAGCAGGGAGCCTGATGTGGGACTCGATCCCAGGACCCTGGGATCATGACCTGAGCCAAAGGCAGACGCTTAACTGACTGAGCCGCCCAGGCGCCCAGACACTTATTTTTTTTTTTAAGAGTGGATTTATCCTCTGACCCACACATGCATGACCTCTTGCATTATCAGTATCACTCATCAGAGTGGAACATTCATTACAATTGATAAACATATATGGACACATCACAATCACCCAAAGATCATAGTTTACATTACAGTTCACTCTTATTGGTGTCCATTCTATAGATTTGGACAAATGTGTGATGACATGTATCCATTATTATGGTATCATACAGAGTATTTTCACTGCCCTAAAAATCCTCCGTGCTCTGCCTATTTAATCCCTCTCCTGCCCTCTGGCCCCTGGCAACTATTGATCTTTTTATTTTCTCCATAGTTTTGCCTTTTCTAGAATGCCACATAGTGGGACTCATATAGTATGTAGCCTTTTCAGGTTGACTTCTTTCACTTAGTAATATGCATTGCAAGTTCCTCTATATCTTTCCATGGCTCGACAGCTGTTTTTAGTGCCAAATAACATTACACTGTCTGGTTGTACCATAGTTTATTTATCCATTCACCTGCCGAAGGTCATCTTTGTTGCTTCCAAGTTTTGACAATTATGAACAAAGATGCTAGTAAACATGGACATAACTTTTCAACTCCTTTGAGTAAATACCAAGGAGCATGATGGCTGGGTTGCATGGAAAGAGTATGTTTACTTTAGAAGAAACCACCAAGCTGTCTTCCAAAGTGGCCTTACCATTTTGTGTTCCCACCAGCAATGAATGAGAGTTCTTGTTGTTCCACATGCTCATCAACACTCGGCATTATCAATGTTCAGATTTGGGCTATTCTAGTAGGCATGGAGTGGTATCTCATTATTGTTTTAACTGGCATTTCCCTGAGGACATATGATGTGGGGCATATTTCCATAAGTGTATTTGCCATCTGTATATCTTTGGTGAGGTGTCTGTTAAGGTCTTTGGCCCGTTTTTCAATTGGGTTGTTTGTTTTTCACA